AGTAGATAAATTAAGCAAATTTATTTTTGTAATTCCAATTTGTGCAATATAGGTTTTGTTGCCTTGCTTTCTACTCTCATAATGTGATGTAAAAAACAATTCTAGTGTTTTTTTTTTTTTTTTTTTTTAATAAGTATCATTATAGTACAAGTATAAGCAATTACTTATTTTTTGCTGTTGTGCAGCTACCAGGTTCGCTCACCTACATTTTTCCAGAAGTGCAGAGATCAGTACTGGTACATCAGCCAGTTGGAGTCGGCTCAGAGCGGCTACATACAACAGATCAACAACCTCAAAGAGGTACGCCAGTAACTAAATGTTTTGGTTGTGTGAGGGTTCTACACAGACCAGCCACAGAGACGTTGAATGCATTCCAAAAATATTCTTAATTTATTACAAAAAGTCCAAAAATAATTCAGAAATGATGAATTGGGCCCAAAACTGAGGTCAACATAACAAACTACAACTCAGGTAGTAACACAAAGAACTCGAGCACAAAACTGACCTAACTAACAAGACATGAGGGGAACTTAAATAGTGGCTGATCAAACCACTGCTGATACACAAGGGTAATTAAACATACAAGAACTTAAACAAATGCTGGTCAACACAATACTAAATATTTGAATTAAATAAATACTATTAGAACTAAACTGCCAAAAAAGAAGAAACGTTAAAGAAATAGTAAAATTAAACTAAAGAAAACCAAATTTCCCCTTCCCCTGGCAAACAAATGGAATGACCTGCTGAGGAGGTTTGTCAGCCATGTAGGACATCGATTAGCTGGAGCTCTTCTGAGTGACTCCAGCAGCAGCTCCAAAGTAAACTGGTAACTCAGTTTACTAATTATCCATTCATCCATTTTCTGTACACCCTTGTCCCTTAGTGGGGTCGGGAGGGTTGCTGGTGCCTTTCTCCAGCTAACATCGCATTTTACAAAAATATAAAGAACTGACAGATAAAGTTAACTAAATGTGTGCGCTGCAAATAGTTAACTAAGGAGTCAGGCTAATGATAATTTTAAAAATACAAAATCTAAACTATTCACTTATCAATCTGTAAACTAATGTGAATGATGAACAGAAAACGATTACCATTCAGATCTCTGTGTGACAGTAGGGTCAGCTGTCACAGTTGCTTAGCCTCATACAGCTG